CTTCTTGATCAGCTAAGTGAAAATCATATTCAAATATTCAACAATTATTCTTTAATAAAATGAAATCTAGAGAATCAATAAAAGAAATTTGCCATTTTAAAGAATAACACACTGAAGGATTTCATCCGTAAATCCATAGCAAAAAGATCTTTATTATTTATTTTAAATTTTATTGGCATTTTACAATAAAGGACTGTTCATTCACGTTGGCTATGGCTTCGAAAGATTCTTTTGTATATATTTTCTTTTGAAGTTTCATAGATTGATTTTTTCATGTAAAGGTTACTCATTGTTCTTTTTTCGTTTGGATAAATTAGAAACTAGAAATGAACAAATCATTTGAGCAATATTTTTAGTAAGAAAATGTTTGTTTTTTCCTTTCCTATTTGATTCTTCGCTTAATCACAATAAATGAAAAAACTGTTTGAAATAACTCTATATTGATCTATATAGAAATGATTACATATCTGTTGCTAATTGATTTTCTCGTATAGATTATAAAAGTGACACACTAAATCGTAATCGAAATAATTTTCGAATAATAACCACCATCTTTTCTACATTTTTTCTATGTTGATTTTAATCTATCAAATTCAAACAAATAGTTTTTTATTTAAATTCTCTAACTGAGATTTTTTCAAATTAACTAGGTATCTTAAGTTATCATCATGACTGTCGAAATGCTATAACGTTACTATTGGTCTTCGATTTTATTACCACATTTTTCTACTTTTTACAATTCAAATTAGTTTTTCTGTAAATATACCAGCAGTAAGTAGGGTTTACTCTTTCATTCTACTGGCATGAACAGTTGATAATAAATCTCTCTTACTTGAATCTTAAAACTTCTCACTAGCAGAACAACATTTCTCTGGAATTATCGATGATAGTTACAAGTTCAAAAAGTCTTCATACTCCTTTGAGATAGCCGATTCCAAGAATGAAAAACATAGCTATTATTTTATTATTGGGAGACTTTTAAGTGTGAAAATTTATAGAACTAGTCGTCAGTAGCAAACTTCTTGTTACTAAAAATAACATTTCCATCTCAAGATTACATAACATGGAGCCATTGGTGCTTCGTCCCAGATAAAAACTTGAGTCCTTCTAATCTCATCAGCTTCCTTACTGTTTGATCGAATACTTGATGTAGATGTTTCTAATATAGGTACGGGAAGCTTGAAACGACTATGTACAGTTCTTCCTTCAGGCAATAAACTTGCAGCAATTCCTTTCCATGCAACTGTCATAACGTGGACTCCTTGTTCCATGAATAAATGGTACAGGGTGTTATAAAGATAGGTTTTCCCTGTACCTCCAGGACCATCAATAAAGAAACATGAGCCAGTAGTGGTGATTGATTGTTTACCATGACTTGCAAGAATTGCATCTGCTACTGAACGCTGATCTTGATTCAACATTGCATACATTTCTTGTCCTGTTCGAAGTTCTTCTTCTTTATTGATAACTTTTGATTCAAATGAATAAGGAACAGATGTTGGTGATGATATATCAAAATCACTGCAACTTCGACCTTGTTCTTTCAGCTTTCCATCGATTGCATAAAATGCCATTGCTTCTGCTATTTCAGCATCTACCTGTTGCATGAAGTCCTCGGCCATATGTGCTTTAAACGAATTCCAGAGGTCTACA